CTCGATGCGTCGGAGAGAGAGAGAGCTCGAGATGGAGTGAGAAGAGAGAGCTCGAGCTTGAGGCGTCGAGGGAGAGAGCTTGAGGCGTCGGAGAGAGAGAAGCTCGATGCGTCGGAGAGAGAGAGAGCTCGAGATGGAGTGAGAAGAGAGAGCTAGCGCTCGAGCTCGTGGCTGCGTGCGTCAGGAGAAGCTCGAGGTTCGTCGGAGATGGAGATGAGCTCGAGGTCGGTCGGAGATGGAGATGAGATCCAGGTTGCTAGAAGATTGAGATGGAGATGGAAGATGAGAGCGGCGAGGAATGTTTTGTCTGCGTCAACAAGGAGAGACCGCGTCAATTAGGTTTAGGTATATGAAGTAAATACTCAAAACTTTTAAGGGTAAAATGGTAATATACATTTATAGACGCAGAGTTTGCGTCCAGTCGCTGATTTAAAGCCGCGTCCGAAATTTATAAACGCTAGACGCTGCGTTTTGACGCAGACGCAGACGCAACACTCTGCGTCAATTAAACGAATAAGATTTCATAAAACAATTGACGCAGACGCTGACGCAGGAAGCTGCGTCAACGAAACGAACAGCACTTTTGTCAGAGCCACACCTACACCGTATGCTGGAAAGGATAGCGTAAATGGTAGATTATGATGAAGCTGGATCTTTATTATACGAAAATGAGATTTAAATCTAGCTACTAAATGCGAGAACGACTGCCTTTTTTTTCTCCTTCAAAAAAAAACAATACAAAACTCATAACAGAAGGGGATTTCAAAACTATAAAAATCTATTGCTGCTTGTCGGGTTGTTCCTCTTCTTCTTGATCAGGGTTTTCTTCTTCCTCTTCTTTCTTCTCTTCCTCTTCTTCTTCGTCTTCTGCAGGAGGATCGTAAGGCATCGGTGGTGGCAATGGCGTCTTCATTGGGCTAAACTTGGGGAAAATATCAGGCCTCCTCCCAGGTTTAGGTCTCTCCCACTCCTAACAGTAGAACACAACAAAAATTAGTATCATTTCTGGCAGAACATAACAAGGGAATATCCATTTGTAGAATCAGAATGGCAATCATAATCATAAGAACATGCTGTTTATGTAGTGAACCCCATGTAGATTCTCCAGTGTTCATAACCAAAACTATAGGGAAAGTGGAGCACAAAGAATCTACAATCACATTATACGGACATAGACCAAATGATTTCATCTATGTAGATTCATAGACAAAGAAAGAATAATCAAACAGTGAACTGATGAATAAGATTTATGATACAAATTGGCCTCAAATAGAAAATAGGTTATGCAACCAATCTATACTATATAAAAGTTGAGGCTATAAGCCATTGAGGACGTCCACGTAGGATTTAAGTCCTCCAATCGTATAATGACACATCATTATATTAGTTTATTATTTTTATAAAATGTCATTGTTTCCAAATTATATTAAAAACGAAATTAATATTCCATATATAACTTAGCTAACAAAATAAATATTGACATTTTACAAATTACTTAAAAATGTTAACTGTTATAAAAAATGGAAAATCAAAATAAAAACGTAATATTAACAAAACAATATTGTCTTTTTAGATATACTAAATGTAAAGTATCATTTTT